AACTCGGGACCTTGTACTTGTGAGGCAGGCGGTGGAACCACTGAGCTAAATCCCTGGCCCTGTCTTGTTTATTAAATTCTTTGAAAAATAAATTTTAATGGTTTAATAATTTCTTATGGATTTATTTTAAATTAAGCAACAGTTCCCTGTTAAACATTTACATATAAATGTTATGCTAGTGTAAACACTTGAGTAATTTTAGAATTTGAAAGCATCTATTTTCTCAGCATTAATTTCTAAGTAAAATCATTCAGTCATTTGGACTTCTCATGCTTTTGAAGTAACTTTGCTAAAATGCTGCCTCGGAAGAGTCATGCTGTAGTGTGGCCAGGAAGACAGTGAACTAGACAGAGATGAGAAAGCTGAGAAATGTGCAATCCTAAAGTGGAAAAAATAGATGGAAGAAAAAGATGGCTGGAGCCTGATGGCTAGGGACTGAGGTTATTAGGCGAAATACAGATTTTTGGGGGGTGTCTCTATTTTCCAAGCTTACTAACTTTAATGCTTTTGCAAAATATCCATCCCAAACCCTCTCGTGTCACCATTTTTTCAAACTATTGTTCTTCTTAGTTTCCACGAAATCGTTTTTATGCAACTAATAGCAGCAGTCCTTGAGGGTAGTTTTGTCAGAAGCTTTGTATTTTGAGGGCTTAGCAGTTTCCTACACTGAGTATGCAATAAATGTGAAGTTGAAACCTCAAAAAAAATAAGTGTTTGTGGAATTAAATCTCAGTGCCTACCAAATTCATGAATTAAAACTCCTAAAAATTGAAAGTTGGAGATAGGTTCTTTTAAACATTAAATCACTCAAAAAATGATATTTAGAATGACTTCATTCCTTAAACTGCAAAGCAGCTCAATGAATCACCATTTTACAAGTAAACGAGAGGCACAGAGAAGTGAAGTAACTTGGGCAAAGAAACACACTGGAGTAGTCTCCTGAACCTCAAAGGTCGTACTTTTCCTATTCTATTAAGGGTCTTGATAATCCACCAAATAAATGATTCTCAAGAAGTAAATCTTAGTTGTTTAAAGGAAAAGTAAAGGACTGGCTGTGATAGCACACACCTGTAATCCCAGCTCTCTGAGAGACTGAGGCAAGAGGATCACAGGTTTGAGCCCCGCCTGGGCAACCTGGCAAGACTGTCTCAAAATAAAAAGTAAGATATAGCTCAGTGCAAAGGCAGTGGTTCCATTACCAGTATGAAAGAAAGAAAAAGGAAGGGAGGGAGGAAGGAATAAAAGTAAGGATGGGAACCAACAGCAGAAGATACTGAAACCCTGGGTAGCAAACAGCACTTGTGCTGCTCACATGTGGTGCTTCAAGGGCCAGTGCCCTGTTCTGTTATAGGCTCTGTTAGAAGAGTTCCTTTAATACACTTATCAAAGAAGTTTTTTAAAAAAGCCATGTGTAGGGCCATAGGTTTAATCCCTGTACAGCTAAAAAAACTTTAAAAAATTTTTAAAGTCTGCTTATAAATAACAGTATTATCTTTCTCATCTCTATTAGTTCATGTATGTGTTAGGACAGCTTGGCTAATTGGAAGAGATAAATATATAAAGATGAAGTCAGTGGTACCTTCGGAGTTAACTCGAGGGCTAGAATGTAATGCAGTGGTAGAGTGTATGCCTAGGTGTACAAGGCCTGGGCTAAATCCCAGAACCAGAAAAAAGAAACGAAAAGGAAAAGTGAACTCAAACCGAGAGTGACATCTAGAATATTGGACTGAAAACAAGATAGTGTCTGGAATCCCCTGAGCAAACACTCAGCACTTACAAATGGATGGAGGAAAGTGGAAATCCAAATTTGTGCTGGAACTGAGCTTAGGCCCCTCCCCAGGAGCAGCTTTCCACCCAGAAATACAGAATACTTCAGTCAGTCAGTCTGGCTGAACCCCTGCGACCTGTAGTTCTTGGCACCCTTCTTCCTTTCCCTCACTGTAAGTCCAGAAAACACGATGTTGCCGTTGCAGTTTTAAAAGTTGCATAAACATAGCCCCTCTGGGTATTTTTTTCCTCCTGTACAGATGCTCTAGAACATCTAGCCTGTAAAGAATGATGTCTTGTCAAATCTTGCTAATAATAAATGTTAACAATACACTCTTCTCCAAGAGCACAAAAGTCCCCCATATATTCAAACTTCATTGGCAGAGTTCTTATGATCTGCAAGTAGGAGCCAGTAAGTCTCATCTTGTTAATGCATATACAAATAACCACATTTGTTCACTAAAGGCACCCAGATGAGAGCTGACATAAACAGATGTTTCATTTGTTAAATACACTGACTTGATAGTGTATACACATGGCAACAACAATTGTAATTTGAATAATAATTTGTATGATTTTTTGGAAGGCCAGTCTGGACTACATAGCAAGACTCTGTCTCAAAACCACTCCCCCCAAAACAAAGAGGAAAAAAAAAAGAAACTGTCATCAGAGGTCAGATTGCACCTCAAAAAAGGCCCTAGGCCCAGGATTTTTTTCAAATATATACAAGCAGTTTCAAAAAATACAGAAAGAGAGAAAGCTCTCCTACTCATTTTATGAAGCTAATACAACCAGAATTTAATGTGGATTATATAAGAAAGACCAGTACATAGTACATAAATTCAAAACCGTAAACAAAATGGTAGCACCAAATACCTAAAAGCAAGGACTTTTAAAAATACATAAAGTTTCTGGAGTAAGCATCAAAGTAATTTAGGGTGGGGCCCACAGGAAAGAGTATGACCGAGGGCTGCAAAATTGCTTAAACTGTACCACTGGTACTTACAGGTTTCTTTGTACTCTTTAGTCTGCTTTCCATGTTTCAATTTTCCTAATCAAAAGGCGTTTATGTCTTTGTTTTCAGTGCAGTATGGCCAATATTCAGAATTTACCCCCCTGCAGGAAAAGATTTATTTGTGAGACACCACAGGGTATGCTGTGTGAACTTCCTCTGTCCTCCCTTTGGCAAAAGTCGAATTGTCAGGCTGGGGATGTGGCTCAGTAGTAGAGCACCTGTCTACCCTGTGTGAGGCCCCAAGTTCAATTCCCAACACTGCAAAAAACAAAATGAAACAAAGTTCTCACAATGTGTCTTTCTGAGGAGAGTTTTGGTTTTAGAGGCGTTGATGGGTGGGACCAGAGCACAGCTGACGTAGTGGGTATGTGAGCTCTTCTCTGCCTGTGAGAGGCCCTATAATGGCATAGGAGATTTGTAATATGTGTATTAGAACCACAGAAAGGTTTAATTGTGCACAGACTCAAGGAGGAACAATTCTTATGAAAAGAACCACTGACACCCAAGCCAAGAAAGTGTTTCTTGGTTCATTGCCTAGTAAATTGGCCCCTCAGTCTAGGCACAATCTACTTCTTAAAAGCACAAAGAAAGATCTCTCTGGACCTCAACATTTATTAAAGTCCCTTTGGGTCTGCTCTAATTCCAGGACAGGAGTCCATGGCTCTGCAACTTGCATGACATTTTACTAAGGTAAGGAGACCATCTAACCAGTGAGTAAAAAATCCCATCAGAAAGAATAGGAAATCAGAACTGGCTGATGAGAAAGGACCCCAGAAATAGAATGCTCTTCTGTCAGGTAACAGCACTGATCTCAAGTAGCCACAGATGGTGTGCTGTTCACCCGGGCTCTGGGGGCTGTGGTTCTTTCGGGTCCATGGTTAGTACTGGCTGGGGGTTTCCATCAGCCACATGGCTTCCACACACAGTTCCTGCTCACAGACTATTGAGGGGGATAAGAGGATGCATGGGCTACACTTAGAACAATGACTAATATACAGTAAATCATCAGAAATACTGATGCTACCCTGTTATAGTCCATCTAAGTCACCACTTTTCTCCTCCTACTTCAAGCTGTGATGACCAGGGTGGTCTGGGGTTGTTTGTAAGAGTACAAGTAACTGGCCATCAGATTTGGTGGCTGCCTTGTCCAGCTCTGAATCATGTCTCTGAGCTAACGGGCAACCAGGCCTGACCCCACTGGAAATCCCAGTTGGAACTGGAGAAGAAGAAAAGACAAGAAATAGGTTATAAATCTACTCCCTATGAGGAAGTCACGTTTTATCAAACCCAAACTATCTGGGCCATAGGAAGTCAGAATGTGTTTGTGACTAAAAATTCAGTGTGCTTTTTTCACACCCTATTTATATGGCTGGAGCCCAATCTTCACATGGGCCTAAGGTTTGCATTTAGGGGCTTCAGGTTAGGGTTTCAGGGTTTGGACACTCCTGCCCATCTGGGTCTCTGTGGTCAGTAGACTCGTCCGAGTTTCTACAATAATAATGACCAGCAGTGGGAGCAGAAGTCAGGAAGAACTTGGTTCTTGGTTTGGTCTTAGAGCAAGTTAGATTGGGATCTAGTGGCCAGGAGGACACAGACTAGTTGCAGAATAAGCAAGGCCTCACTATGGCCCCAGGGAGAGCTGAGGCTCTGTCCATAAATTCGTTTCTGATCATGCACTCCATCCTCTAGGTCCCAATCTAACTTGCTCTAAGTCCAAAGCGAGGCCCCTCCAGAACTCTGAAGTTCTGAAGAGAGCTTTTGACCAGATACTCAGGCTGGCTTTTACTTCTTACCTCGAGTCCCTTCCTGGCCCCAGTGTGACTGCCAGCTACACTAAGGTGGAGTGGCCCCCATGGCTCGCCCTAGGTTCCCTTAGTGCTGGGTCATACTGCCTCAGGGTTTCTCCTCACTGTGTCCCTGCAAACATCTCACATCCTGCTGGCCTTGCCCGCTGCCTTCTCCCCCACTTTCTCTAGCAATTCCCCCAGTTCCCCCCACCCACACTGCAGAGTGGATGATGAGAAGCCAGATGTAGAATGCAAGCCACTGAATGTGCTACGGAGGACCTAAGCTGAGCTGTTTGCCTGGCACCGGGGCACGCCAGTGACCCCATGTCTATGTGCTGAGACGGAGCCACACCCCACATCCAGAGGAGCAGAGCCAGCTCCTCTGGAGCACTTCCGTATCTCAGGCACCTCAGACAACTTCCTTACCACAGTTCTGTCAGCAGCTAACCTGAGTGGCCCCATTAATGACAAGGGACCCCCGGACATTGACTGCCCAAGACCATAGTTGTCCATCTTTAACCCAAAGCCAAATATGCCTGGTATTTAAACTTCATTTCTAACGCCTACTGGCAGAGAATTAAGAGTCCTCCACCTAGAACTGACACTGATTATTTCGGATGTCTTCATTCTTTATCCTCCCTCTTTTTTTTTAAACAGAGATATAGCATCAGGACAGCATGTAGTTCTAGCCTGCTCAGCCCTGAAGAAAATGCACAGAGACATCCTAATAAGAGGAAAAGATACTGCACCTCCAAAATTCAGGGAGTCAAAGGAAGAAAAGCTGGCTAAGGTGCAGCTCTTGGTGGTCCATCTGAGTGGCTCATTCGAGGTCATCTCTGGACGCTTGCACCAAAGGAAAGGACATTTCATGCCTCCTGAGTTATTGCAGTCCCAGTTTGATACTCTGGAGCCCCCAACAGCTCCAGAAAACTTCATCCAAATCAGTGTGGACAAAAAACTTTCAGAGATCATTACTATAGTTTTGGAAACTCTCAAAATGAAGTGAGAATCATTTCCTGTTGGTGGGCTAGAACAAAAACAGGCATAAATCTCTGTCCCACTCCAAATCTTGCTGGAGTCTCCTTGCCCATGCTGTATTCTAAATTCGTAAAGTGCACAAACCACAGTGTGTTAAGATGCACTTGCTTAATTGCATCTGTAGGAATCTGATGTATTTGGCATTGTGTGGAGAAGGAAGGAAATTGAAAAGTCAAGCTAAAATTGAAGTTGAAATGCATCTGTGATGCAATCGAATGATTATGTGAAATTCGTAATCCATGCTGGGAAGCATTACCTTGTTTAGAACATTCTCTTTCGTGACTGTATGTTTATAATAAATGAAACTTGGCTGTCCTTGGCCCCTCCTAGAATCGGCCACCTACCAGCAAGTCATTTCACAGCACACGCTGCTAACTCTGCCCCTGAGTGATGGCTAACAGCAGCAGCTCGCAAGCTGAGATCCCAAAAGCCATTAATAGCAGAACAAGCAAGCTCTGTCCAGTTCTCCCAACAACTAAGACAAATATGTCCATCAGCAGCAAAACTGAATTTCTTGCCTTTTGGCTAAAATTATGTCAACTCTGAGTCAACACTGCCTCTGCTAAGCAGCTGTGTCATGTATGTATAATTCATACAAAATTACATAACTGCTAATTACAAGATAGAGTTTTTTTGAAATTTGACAGCAGTTGACTTTTGAAAATTTTTTAATTTTATTGGTAGGCTTTTGATATACATAATGATCACATCCACCACAGGGAATTTGTACCTGTACATGATATATCTTGATTCATCTTTTTCCCCATTCCCCTCCACTCCCTTCAACCTTTCTTCCCCTCATTTACAGAAGCTTTGTTTCCATTTTTTTCATTCTATTTTTTTTTCTTTTCCCTTCCTCCCCACCCCTCCTTGTTCTCCTTTCCATTTTAACATTTTCTTCCTACTTCCCTGTATCTGTCATCCATTTTGGTCCTTACTTAGACTTTGGGTTTCTCACATAAGAGAAACAATGTAATATTTGAACATATGTGTCTGATTTATTTTACTTAAAAGTATGGTCTCAAGGTGTCTCAAGTTTAAATATTTTAAAATGTCAAGTTTATTAAAAGATAGAGTTTGGCCAAAATTTTTTATAGTGAAGAAAAGGATTATTTTAGCAGAATAAAAATTAAAAACAATTACATTAGGGAAAAATTGTTTTTCTAGTAGGGGAGCTGTCAAAATAGTTCATTTGAGAAATCCCTACTCTAAAATGTCTTCAAATTTGCCGGCTGTTAGAGCTGGAAGCAGAGTTCGGTAGTCAGCCCAAAGTGTGTGGCAACATGGGAATGCACAGGCTGAAGCTTCAGGCTTCAGTGCCATGGGGCAGGCATTCGGTGCCTGACTGCATGCGATCAGGGTCCCTGACAATGCTCTGCCTCACCACTGATGTGACATGGAGGACACCTGTTTGGTGGGAGTGTCTTCACCTTCCAGCACTGCCTCATCTTCCGTTTCAACAGAGAGGCAGCCACAGGCTCAGAGGGGATGGAGTCTCATAATTGCGTTACATTGTTCTTATTTCTGTTGTTACTTTCCTTCTATTTAAGACAAGTATTTATTTTCTGATTAGTGTCATGACAGTTTCTTTAAAAATAAATACAGCCTGAGCTAGGGATTTAGCTCAGTGGCACTGCACCTGCCTCACAAGCACAAGGTCCTGAGTTCAATCCCCATGCCTAAATAAATACAGCCATCCCCTGTATCTGCAGGAGGACTGCTTCTAGGACCCAAACCAAGGGGTGGCTGGTGCTAGTTTGCACAGTATGCTCAAGAACCTGGGTTCAAACCCCAGCACTATATACACACACAAACAGCAAAATTAAATGATACAGTATTTGCATATAACCCATAAACATCTGTATATTTCATTCATCTCTATTTACAATACCTAATGAGTAAATATTATGCAAATAGGTGCTATACTGTATTTAGGGAATAACCAAAAAAAAGTCTGTGAATGGTCAGTACAGATAGCATTTTTAAAGTCTTTTTTTTTTGGTACTGGGGATCGAACTTGGGTCCTTGCACTTGTGCAGCAGGTGGCAAAACCACTGAGCTAAATCCCTGGCCCTTTAAAGTATTTTTGATCTATGATTGGTTGAATCTGGATATAGAACCCATGGGCACAGAGGGCCAACTGTATATTTAAATAAAATGGGTCATTTCAAGATAAAAGTACACGGTTTGCAGATACACAAAAACTGCACAGGTGGAGCTCCATAGCGAATGAGGCAGGGGCTCAGTGATCCAGCCAGCCCCTCATTCCAAGAGCAGTGAAGGTCCAGACGGCACTCAGGAGACCAGCTTGTGTCTCTGCCCACTCTCCTGTGAAGAAGCCATCAGTGAAGGGTCCTATGCAGGTGAAGAGGGAGCATGCTTGCCACGGAACAAACTGATGGGCAACACTATACCATGGGCAGGGAGTGGCTGGACGGGCGTCTTCGGGCTGAGAGGGTGGAGGTGCTGGTGCGTTCGTGGCATGTGGCTCATCAGGGCACCAGCCATGCAGGCTGTGATTTGGCCAGCATGGGCCTGGTTGGAGTCTTTCTTCCCACTCCAGGAAGATGCTTCATTTCTCTATCGCAGCCAGAGCCACAGGACCCAGGCACTCCACAAGCCCACTGGTTGGTGCTGGCAGTTTCAGAATGAATTACACATTTTCTTTTACAAGAGCGCACAGTTGTAAGTTTCAGGAGCTACAAATAGCAGATGTGCTAGTGGAATGAAAGGGCCCTTTTGGGCAGAAGGCATTTTGCCTAGGAAAATGTGAGCCATGGAGTTTCCACTCACTGCCCAGCTGGATTCGAGTCTCCTGCAGACGCAGAGGAAGGAATCAGTGGGGTCAAGGTACCTAGTAAATCC